CTAGTTTTTATTACATCTTTTTGATCCTAAAATGTCACAAACGTGGGCACAAATTTATGGTTTACAGAAGGGAAGAACTTTAATTGTGGGGCGGTGATTCTAGATGTATGAAGCTGTTTCCAAAACCAGAATAAAAACCATGTATTTATTGGACTCTACCATCTGAAAGAGTCCAATAAATGTAACAATTTGTTTATTATTATGTCTAATAATTTTTAATGATTGAAGCTAACTCTAAGTCAATAAAGGAAATCTTATGGATGTTCCTCGCAGCTCTTTCCTTTTCAGGTTAGTGGCTGAAAGCAGATATTAAGAAAAAGAAAGAACATCATTCATTTTTAAGAACTAATAACTTTCTGTAGTTTCTTCTTTTCATAAAATAAAATAATAAAATGTTTAATAAAATAATTTTTATCAAATCATTGGGAATTTCATTTCAAGTTCAGGCGTATCTAGAGTGTCTTCCTCATGACTAATGCGCTTATTAAAAAGTACTCGTTGAAAAAGCTACCTAGTCATATTCATGACAACATGTAAATCTTATGTATGCAAATTCAATTCGGATTAAATAGCATTGTTTATATTAGGTTGACAAGTTGAAAGTTGGTAAATTTTTGAGTTAAATTTTATTGGCAATCAAACAAACAAATCAATAAAAATTGTCTCCATTATTTTCGATTACTTTCGCCCATTTTACTGGCAATTGGCGAATCCCTCTCTCATTGAATATTTTTGGTTTTGGGTCAAAATTGTTTTGGAGCCACTTTTGAGGTTATCTTTATTTTTGAAAGTGCTCTCCATCCAAGGAATGTTGCATTAACCGAAAAAGGTGATAATCTGAGGGGACAATGTCAGGAGAGTACGGTGGGTGAGGTAGGAGTTCCCACCACAAATCCTGGATTGTGGAGAGAGCGAGCGCATGTGGCCAGGCATTGTCATGGAGGAGAATGACCTTTCTCAATTCCGATCCTTTTTCGTTGATTTATTCATTCAGTTTTTGCGCTAATCACTGTACAATAGAGCATTAATAGTCAAGGAGTTCCCAATATATCACCCCTTTGAGATCCCAGCAAACCGATAACATATACTTCTTCTGGTGGGGATCTGGGAGGACCTCCATCGCAGCAGTAACTCCAGGTCCACCAATTGCCGTTTTTTTTAAATTTTACAGTTCTTATCCACTTTTAGTCGACTGAATATCTTGACACCATAAACCATTATAAGCGCGTGTTTTAGAAAGTACATTAATCTACTAAAAATTAACTGAGGTTGTTTCGTCGACTAATAGTCTAGTCGCAAGGAACACACTTTAGGCGTGTTCATCCTCGTGGATTCGCTCTACGATAGAGATCTTTCATTGCTTGAACACAGAGCTGATGTCAGTGAGGAGCTGTCGGCATCTCTTCAACAAATCATCTTTCTGGGTTGTTATGCGGTATTCATGAAGAAACTTCTGATTATGAGAATTTCGAATTTTTAGGTACTTATTGTGAACTTTTTTGTCTCGCCATTCGCGATCTATTATTCGGCGACCAACAATCGATTGTCGACTCCGATTAGGTTTGTTTTTAGGCTAACGATTAACGAATACAAATTGGCAACGAATCCAAACTCCAAAAAACATAGCAACAACGCAAAACTACAAGCAATCTTAGTCAAAACGAATCTTTAGTTTCATTTATTATTGGTTCTAGTTGGCCTTCATTATTGGTTCTAGTTGTGAAATGTCTGTGAAATAATTTTGACAAGAAGAAGTTTTCAAAACTTTTTTAGTTTTTAAAAAAGTTGGATAGAGTGGTTTCTTAAGGTAAAATTTGTGTTATCACCAAAAGATACGTTCAGAATGTTGGCCTCAATGGAAAACATCATCAAGTGTCTCTTTTCTGATATCTATGCTCTCGACAACTATTGCCAGTTGATATCATCGAATCTTCCGATCGAATTTCATTGTTCGAGTTCTTTATCAAATATTTTCGACTATATTTTCTCACTAACAAACTCCGATTTGAATCTCTATAATATTGCTCAATATTATCAGTTGATGATATCAATTAGTCGATTTGTTGCCGTCTCATATAATGGTCAATATTTTAAGTATACAATGAGATGGCCGTTGGTTCAAGTTTTGATGCCGTTTCTGTTACAATTGTTTCTGGATGGATTGAAATATTTGATAGCTGTTGATTATCAGCAAAAATATGATTTCGACAATCATGTGATGAGATTCCCATTGTTTTTGATGTGTGTGCTGGATTTTCAAACGAATCGCAAGATGAAAAAAGTAGCTTAGAATTGCAAAAGGTCATCGTTTTAAGTCTAGTTGAAACGAAAAGGGAAAACGACACGAGCCGAGTCACTGTTGATGATGCAGGTGGGTTTTTATTAGCGAAATTTACATTGGTCCTCACTATTAGACTGGCCTTTAAGTCTTGGTAACACTTCGTTTTTTCGAATTAATTGTTTATGCGCTCGACTTTCCCCGTTATGTTTACATCCAAAAAGTCGGCTTATCAAAACAATTTCAAAACACTTCATACGCAGGCTCCAATGCTTCTTCTATTTTTTTTATTGATTTTTATTCAAAGGCTACCCTAGTGCTTCCATCAGGACATCTGAGACACGTTATTTTGTACGAGTTGAAAAAAAGGGTCTTCTTTGTCGGTGGTCCAGAATAACATTGAAAACGCGTATAGCAATGACGCTCCTTCTCAAAACACAATTCAACGTTAGTTTGTCAAATTTAAAAATGGTGAGAATTCCCTTGAAGACGAAGAATGTGCGGGAAGACCTTCTCAATTAAAAAATGAAGATATCCTTCAAAAAATTCAAGACAACCCTCGGATTTCTACTTGTGAAATAGCGGATGCGATTGGGCACTCATATTCAATAATTGAAAGACACCTTCATGAGCTGGGTTTTAAGTCAATTTTTGGTCAATGGGTACCTCATACCCTTAAGGACTCCATGAGAGCGCAGAGGTCATCAATTTCAGCTGCACTTCCTGCAAGACATGAACGGTAACCTTTTTGCCGCACTTAGTGACAGAAGACGAGAAGTGGATTCTCACCGCAAATTTTCAAAGAAAGCGTCAATTGGTAAAGTCTGGAGTTACAGCTGCCATGGATGTCATCCCTGACCCCACCAAAAGAAGTTTATGCTATCAGTTTGGTGGGAACTCAAAGGGGTCATTTACTGGGAACTTCTTGAAAATAAGCAGACTGTTAATGCTTTATTATACAGCAATCAGCTACAAACGGTCAAAGAAGAAATCAAGAAAAAAAACGACAAGCATTGAAAAAGGTCATCCTTCTTCACGATTCGCCCGCTCACATACGGTAAAACTCACTCGCGCCACAATCCACAGCCTGGGCTGGGAAGTCTTGCATCACCATCCTTATTCTCTAGACCTTGCTCCATCGTATTATCATCTTTTTCGATCAATGCAACATTCCCTGGATGGGGAGCATTTTCAAACGCATTTTCAAGCATTTTTAAACAAAGACGATCTCAAAAAGTAGCTCCAAAACTATTTCGACTCGAAACCAAAAATTTTCTGAGAGAGGAATTCGCCAACTTCCAACAAAATGGGCAAAGGTTATCCGGAATAACGGAAATTATTTCGAGTAAACTACTTGTTTGGTTGTAAATAAATTTTTAAACAAAAATGTTACCAAGACTTATGGGCCAACCTAATAAGAAAGTGTTCCTCTTTCTAAAAAGCACATATTTCACGAAACTACCGTGATCAAATAGCCTATTTCCCCTCAATCAACTCAATTTTCGTGTCATTGAGTGAGCCTTGTAATTTCTCATCGATTGACACCAAAATTGAACTGATCGTATCAAAACTGACTGTTTAATTACGATAGTTTCGTGAAATAGGGTGCCTTTTAGAAAGTGCATTGCTCAAGAGGACCATAGGCCTTACATACATGCATCTATACTTTTTTTAATAAACGAATTGTCTTACTATTTTCAATTTCACTAAGATCAACAAGATTTTCAGATGATTCTCAACTCGTTTCTCATCATCACAAACTCTTTTGTTTTCGCCCTTTCCGGTATTTTTGTGCACTTTTTCTTTGGGTCAAATGTTTCTTCTGTTTTCTCGACGGCACTTATTCTCAACCAAGCTCTCTTTTTCAATTTAGTTGGCAGGTGCGAAGAGATTTTGTCTTAAAGTTCTAATTTTTTTAGCCTAATGACGGCCTTTTTCTTCAAGAAGCGCCAAGAAACGGCAAAAACAATAACCATAAGTGGTTCTAGTTAAAAATAAATAACTACTAAAAATAATTACTAAAATTGAACCCCATGAGGTAGTAATTTTTCCCTTCCTTGGCGTTCCAAAAAATAGGGGACCAGATAGTGAAAAAAAATTGCTAAAAACTATTTTAAATGATAGCTTTTAGTCAAAAACAGTCGAAAAACATGTCTAAAACTAAAAATTTAGTCTAAAAAAAACGATCAATCTTATGCATTCTACTAAAGTGGAGTCCTTTAAGAACTACACAATATTTATCACCGAAAATTTCTGACAGCAAAAAATTTTTTCGAACAGAAAAGTAACAGTTTAAAGGTTTAACTGGAGACAGATGCTTTACGCCCATTTTGGGGCCACGATTGATTGAAAAGTTTGTGACCTTGCCTATACAGTTGCGGTTTTTAACAACCCAGTTACGGAAAAAGTTGCGGGAAAAAGAGTTTCAGTTTTGCGTTACGTTTTTTGCTGATCATGTAATGTGGATCACTATTTCTAGTGTATCGTTGACTATATGACTCGAAGTGGTAATATTGGAACATTTGACCGTGTGGATGAAGAGAATGTTAAGGGAAGAGAGAAAGAGCTTTGTAACAACAAAATACGAGTGCTCTTTTTATAGTTGAGATGGAAATCCGTCTCAATAAACATGCTTGCCATAATAGACAATTTATTCGCAAAATACATCAAAAATAATTAATAATCAGAAGTTTCCGATATAATCCTGTATTCGTATTTCCTAGGCATCACGGATCTCGTTGAGAGTTTGAATCAATTGCTAAACCAATTAAATTAAATTCTTTTAAAACCCTATTAACTCACGTTAACTCCAGTGTCGAATTTGCGTAAACAAGGTAAGTAATCCTCAGCATATGATTCGAAGGTGGACTTTATTTTTCTAAACCAAAAATTGTTTTGTTTTAAAGTGCCAAAAGATACGTAAATGACTCGTGTTTCTCCTGTAAATCGGCAAAAGTTGCTGCGTCGTTGAGAATTTCTTCTTTCAAAAGTAATTTCTAAAGAAGATACTTCAAATAGTTTTATTTGATAAAAATACCGTTTCAAAGACGTTGATGCCCTCGAGAAGCCCCTTGTGCAGTTTAGGAACCAAATCCTTGTAAGTGTTGATGACATTTCTTGACTCTTGTTGAAGTTCCATCGACATTTGATTAGCCTGAAATAAATGAAATTAATAAGGCATGTCTTTTCAATTTCAAGCTAACAAAACTAACAATAAGATCCAAAATATACCTTTTTCTCCAATAATGGAGTGGCTCCGTGCCAATGATGTTTCACGTAAGCACAAGCCCCACAAATCTAAAAATCAAAACGTGTTTATTCAATATTAGCAATCACTCACTTCAAAGCTACATGCGCTACAGTAAAACATCTTATCGATAATGTTCTAAAATATCTCTCTAGAAATCAATTCAAGAAGTCATACCTTTTCTGGCATTCATTGCAGCTACATTCATCTTTGACATTCCTCGCAGCATTCATCATTGCCTCCATTTGTCGAGTCATTCAGAAAATCTAAAAAAAGATTAGTGAATGCAAAGAGAATTCATCTACCATGAAATCGATCTTTCCGTTTGTCGTTAGGAGGGTGCGTAGTCATGCGACAAGTTGGACAAGTGATCATCTGGTTTTGTGACAAGTACGTTTTTGTTTGTGTCTTTAAATAGCAATCCGTGCAAATTATGTGTCCGCAATCAAGAGAAAACGATTTCTTTGCCTCGATTTCGTTCGAAACTAAACCAAGAACTTTTCCATAGCAGGTCATCAAACGCACATTCATCAAGACAAAATGGGCATTCCGGAATTTTGAAAGGCTAAAAGAATCACTATGATTTGTAAATCCCAAATCCAACCTTCAGAAGGACATATCCCATTGGAGTAAACACTAGAGCGCTTTCTTGTGACAAAACGTCTAAAGCAACTCGATTCATTAATCTCGCTTTTACTCAAAACAAAAATCATGATAAAACTCACCAATCAAAAAGTAGGCAGATTTTTCCCTGTAGAGAAAGTCCCAACGTCCACATTGATGATTTCCTTCTTCTTGGTTCAATTCTTGCTCCTGCTCGAAACATTCATTGCACATGGCTAATCCACAACACAAATGACGTGGAGATCGAGGCTGATTGGCAACTCGAGCAACTAAAATTTTGAAAATATAACCAAAATAACTTGATTTACCGTTTAAAATCCAAACTATTCTGAAATTCATTACTAAAAAGCGAAACTTACACGGTTCCTTGCAAACAATGCAGTTGAGCGATTCGAATACCCTCATTCTCTAAAAATAAAGCATTATAATTATTGGACGACAAACAAAACCAGATATAAAACTCAACTAAGTTGCGAATTTATCTTCTAATTAACGAAATTTGGTACTTGTGGAGTATCCGGGGGGGTCTTTCAATATCCGGGGGTAAAATTTTAAGATCCGGGGGGATAAAATTTTAAGATCCGGGGTAAACTTTCAAAAACCAACCAAATGCCCAAAAATGTTTTTCTTGTTTTCTTGCCAGGCTTCGATCCTCTTGGCTTTGCCGCTGTTTGCGTGTGGTAACTAAATTTTATAACTATACCAGCAACGAATAAACAAGATGCACGAGTAATGCAAGAACATAAACATAAACCAAACATAATAATTAGATAAATTTGTGAAGTACAACAGTGACTATTTGTAACAGTGACAATGAATACTACTTGTAAAAATCTATAGAATTTACTTCTAGGCCAGGAGGCCAAAAACGAGCAATATCCTTGAGAATTTGCTCAAATGCGTCCGCGCCTTTGGGCAAACTAAGGCGCCAGAGTCCTTCAGCAATCCATGACTCAATCATGTGTTCGTGGGTTCCATGACGAAATCGATTGCTATCTTTGAAAGGACGCCAGAAGCGTTCTATTGTTTGCGTATGGATAGTCGCATCTTTCGGATCCACAAAATTCACGCTATGATTTACCCATCCCCAAGTGTATTGTTTGTCTTTCGCCAAAGGGCGGTATGCTTTCCATCCATCGGAAAGAATATGAGAACCTGGCGCAATAAAGCGATGGATTTCTCGAATGAGAGTCTCCGAGGATCGATCAGGCACAATGACGGCAAAATATGATTTCGTTTCACGACATATACCGCCGAATACCCACTTTTCTGGTACGATTCTCCCTTTGTGGTTTTTCCTCTTTGCAATTAGCGTCTCATCAATTTCAACCGTGAGTCCAGGGCCCCCTATTTGTCCTTGCTGCTTTCTTGATACAATCCAAGCGCATACTTGGCGCATATACTTATTCCAATCAACCGTTGTGTTATTGGCCCATCCCAATTCGTCTTTGAGAAAATCAATCGAGTGATGTCCAGAGCTCCAAATCGACAAATATTTGACCAGTTCATGGAATGGGCGGTGTGAAAGAGAAAAAAACTGTTTACTCTCATGCCCTTTGTTGCTCTATTTCCTTTGGCTCGTTCACGAATACGCTTGTCACACTCCCAACGATAAACATCCTTCTCCTTACTGCGAATCTTCATTTTACGACTACATCCACATGCCGGTGCTGCAAGGATTCCTGCTTGAACAAAAATATCAATCGCATCACGCTCGGAAAGCGCGCTCACCTCAGAATATCGCATTCTGAAAAAAAAAACTTTTGATAGTATCCTAGTTGGGGGACCACTTTTTTCTTCAAAACCACATGTGGGTTGGGCATCTGCCGGACCCACATCAACACATAAAACTACCTCAAAAAATGGTTTTGAAGAAAAAAAATGACCCGCCAACTAGGATATTATCAACATTTCTAATAATGACATAAAAAATTTTTGTAGAAGTTACGTTTTTGATCGAGTATCACCTCGAATCACGTAATCAAGTAATCACCTCAATAAATTGAATATCTTTACATTTGAAGGGAATTTGCCACCAAATCACTTAAGCGGCTGAATATCTTTAAAAGGGGTCGTGTATAACGTATATAAAATTTTACCCCCCCGGATATTGAAAGACCCCCCCCCCCCGGATACTCCACAAGTACCCGAAATTTTAATATGTGATGCAAGACTTTTAGATGTTTGACAGCAAAAAGCTTTCTACCAAAATAGTATAAACATGAGGCTTTTTTGAAAATCTAATGAAATGAAACTGATCGAAGGGATCTAATGGCTGATCAAAAGTTAACGGTATCCTTTTTCCTTTTTATGTCAGATTGGATTTTTTGAAATTATGCCGAAATTTAAAGATATTCAGGAGCAGATGAATTGCCAATTTTCTTGACTGAATATTTTCATTTAAAACATTCTTTTAATTACAATACCGAGCAAGAGTCTTGCAAAATCACTTTTAGGCAAGGCCGTAGAGCTTCGGAAATATTTCCATATAAGGGAATCGTATGCGTAGATTCCGAATTTTGACAAATCAGACCTCGCTGACACGTCAAATTTGGGCTAAAAGGTAAAAACTACGGAAAAGCGTTAAGTTGCGTTAAGTTTTTTTCAGATGCCAGGTACCTACTTGACGACTCCCGAAAAAGAAAAAAAAAATCATGAAAGCAAGAAAAAAAGGAATTTCTCGAGGTGTTGTCTCCGATCTCTTCAAATGCGATCCATCGGCCAAGAAGAACAACAGCAAAAGAGGATCGAATACTCGTGAGGGCTTCCAGGAAGGATCCGAACATGACATCAACTGAGGGAGCTCGGCTGATCAAGGATGTTGCAAACAAGGATATCTCTCGATGGACCGTTTCTCGACGATTGACTCAAGCAGGACTGTATAGGCGGAGGGCTGTACAAAAGCCTTTGATGACCGCCGGCCACGGGAAATAACGGCTTCTATTCGCCAGGACGTACCAAAGATTAGAGAGAGTTAGCATTAGATCAAAACTATTTAAACATTTTATTTGGAACAATAATCAAAATAAATGACCAAAAATTGTCCATACAGCATCTTGTTGAGAGTTTGAATCAATTCCTAAATAAATAAGTTTTTTATGTTTCGAAATCTGAAAACTTTCGTGAACTCGTCCAACTGTTTGACACTCGTGTTTCTCTTGAAATCTGAAACCTGATTAAATGAGACCATTGTATCTTTCTCTTCCAATTTTGAAAAGAGAGTAGTCTCACATCTCAAAATTGTGGTAATTATCTCTCAGCAGAAATAAATCTTTTTCAAAGGAAAAATCTAATTGCTGGTCTAGTGTGGTGAAGAGAGAAAAGGCATTTTTATCTAAGCCTCATTGATTATTTCTAGAATTTGCCTGTTCAAAAAAAGTGACTAAAAAACAAGAAGTTCAACAATTCATCAGCTCCAAGAATCCGTTCAATACTTACAATAAGTATTCTGTTTTTTATTGTCCTCTTTCTACTGTTCAACATGGATTGCCCTGATATCTCAAAATACACAACGAATCTTTTTCTGAAAGTAACGATGTCCTGTCAGCTTTTGTGCGGTCTGTTCTCGATTCTTGGTATCTTATTCACCCATCGAAAGATTTTCTCGTCGATTTTATTGGATTCAGCTTTCAAGGAATATTTGATTTGTTGCTATGCTATTCATTTGATACAAAGTTTTGGGGCATTTTTATTGCAGGTCGGTCTTTATTTTCAATTTTGAAAGACTGACCCCATTGAATGCAGAATATTGACTGATTTTGAGTCATAATTTTTGAAATCATTATTTGAAATCATTATTTTTGTTCAAGGTTCTCCTCTTTTTTCAATACATTGTCCAACCGACATGTTTGGCGACGATTCCATCGTGGTTATGCTATTTTCTTCGTTTCTCGATGATCATCTCGGTGATTTCATTGCCGATCCTCAATCTAACTCTCACGATTCTCCGTTTTCTCTCATTTTTTGGTAGATCAACATCGAGAAAGAGGGAGACAATCACTCGAAGAGTCTTCTTTTCATTCGCGGTAAAGGGTTAAATTGGAAACACAAGGTTTAGCAAATCTTCATGCACTTTTTTGTTTAACACACTTGAAATGATAGGACTTGCTTTCATGGGATCATGGGGTCATACTCCATTTTTATGCCAAAATTTGTATAGAAAGCTATTGATTTCAACATCTGTTTTGACAGCTTTGAACATTAACTCTAAGTACAGGTTTAGTCTTTTTACTTTTAGTGCGGCCAGCAATGAGGCTAAAGCACTTCATAAACACTTCTAATTACAATAGAAACTTTTTAAATTACAAATCTCTAAATGATTTAGAAACAAACCGTAAATTTAGCTCCAAGTGCATATTGAAAAGTTTCCGCTGTCTTTTCATGATTCAATTTGCATTCAGATAGCCATTTTCTGCTTGGAACTCTATTGGCGACTGAATGGAGTGATGATTCCACCAGGGCGAGTCCCCTATTGTATCGGAAATCTGAAGAGTATCGCTGAGAAATCGAACATCGAAGCCGCGATCATCGGCTCGTTGGAAATCGGCACGATACTCGGCGGCTTGCTGCTCATGCATTTATATCAACGAGAGAACCGGTCTTACAAAAACAGTCCTCAAACTTATACACTAAATTTAGATTGAAGAAATCGTACGATATTTCGGTGAATCTCATTCGACGACAACTTATCCTATCCATGCAACTTTTTCTCCCCTACAGGTATCGAGTTTCCCGACTCTCGAAACTATTTCTGACCATTTCTGACCAGCCGACAAAATCTATTGGCTTTGTGCCTTTGAGCAGTTTTCTCCAACTTTCATAAAGAGAAAATTAAAATTTAAGTATCATAATCTGATAATGTGTATTTTTAACAAAGAAAAAATGAATCTGGCAAATTCCTGACAAATCTGATCGCTCTGATTTGACGAATTACCCAGCCTCGATGATCTCTAGCCACGCCGGGCCACGTGCTCTGTAAAACTCAATAGGCTAACACTAAGAGACCTTTGAAACCCACATATTTTCAAAATACAACCTAGTTAATCTTTTGAATATTTCTCACATTTAGTTTTTTCCATGCCATATCATTTCTCACTTTGTCCGTTCTCGGTTATGCCTATCGAGAGCTTTTTGCGTACCTTGAAGAACCTTGGTACTCTGCTGGATCAGGATTCACTTTTGTGAGTTTAATTGAGTCATTTTGTCAAAATGATCACTCAAACCACAACTTCTCAGTTCCCCATGTATTTCACGATGGTTTCCCCGTGGATAATCTATTGGATTGTGGTGAAAAATGACAAGAAGCGAATCAACAAAACAGCTGAGTTGATTGATTTGGAGCAGCGGGCAAAGACAATTTATTTCGAGAACTATCGCTCACAATGGGAATATCAGGGATTGGCCAG